TCTAGACAGGCAGGAGCGTGATGCATCTATCTCTCTGTGCATGTACATTTATAAAAAATATCTGGACCTGTATATATAAATAGGAACATATCCAAATCCTACACACTTAGATATAAAAATGAGAGAAAGGTTAATTTCTGCTAGAAGACAGAATTTCTTTCTGAAACCATTAGTTTGGTGGGTTGTTTATGAAAATTAGACCAATAAACTGCGATACATGAAAGTGCCAAGAGAGATGATTACTTATGGATCGCAAGTACAGGTACACCAAAAATGAAGAGATACTTAAAGATCTGATGTCAAAAGTCATTTGTGCAGCTCCATAATACTTTTTTTCAGAAAATCTAAGGTTCGCAGAATAATCACCCAGAAACCACCCTTACACATCTGAAGACTATTTCCCAGCAAGAAAAATAGTTCTTTTCATACACTTCTCTTGGAAGTCTTTTTAAAAGATTTTGGATTAGAATGAGATGCAATTGTATTCTTAAGGTTTCAAATTATAAAGACTGATTTAGCATTTTAATGCCCTAGCAGATATAATCAACCACATAAACTCAGAGCTTTCACTGCACTTACTTTTATACTGCCTCCTCTACTTACAGCTTTGTTTTTACAGAAAATAGATTAATATTCTCTTCTGTGAAGAAAAAAAAAATTGCTCACACTACATGAGTTACAGAACTACAGAATCGCTGGTGTTGGAAGGGGCCTCTGGAGATCAGCTACTCCAACTCCCCTGATAAAAGCAGGTTCAGCTACAGGACAAGTGACAGTTGCTCAGTGCCACAGTCCTTTCCCCAAAAGCAAAGGACGTGTTCTTCGAGCGCACCCTAGTGAAAATCCTGTTGAAGCCTTTTTTTTCTGGTTTAAAATCCTGCAAGTATCTATATCTAGCTATCAGTGGTTTGTTGTCTTGATGCTAGAGTCTGGATTTTAAAAATTACATTTAGTAAAGGAAACAAGGAGAGGTAGATGCCTCACTACTGTATAAAAATCTAGTTAGGTAATTTATGTATCTATTAATTACACTAAATTACTTTTTGCAGTGATATACTGAATGTGAATTACACGATCCTTCACAAAGGTCTTGAAAAATTAGTTATTTTTCTTTTGAGTATTTTCCTTTCTATATAGAGATGATGTTGTTGCTGTTATGGAAGAGCCTTGTGTTTCCGTAAATTAAAATCCTAGAATGACAGAATATCTGAAGTTGAAAGGGACTCATAAGGATCATCGAGTCCAACTCCCCGCTCCTTGCAGGATTATCTAAAACTAACCCATATGACTAAGAGCATCATCCAGATGGTCCTTGAACACTGACACGCTTGGTGCTGTGACCACTGCGCTGGGGAGCCTGTTCCAGTGACCAACCACTCTCCCAGTGAAGAAACTTTTTCTTACGTCCAATCTGAACTTTTCCTGATGCAGCTTCATTCAGTTTCCTCATGTCCTATCACTGGTCACCACAGAGAGGAGATCAACACCCCACCTCTGCTGCCCCCCTTGAGGGAGCTGCAGGCTGCCATGAGGCCGCCCCTCAGCCTGAACAAACCAAGTGACCTCAGCAAGCTCCTCGTAATCCCAGCCCTCAAAGCCTTTCACCATCTCGGTCACCCTCCATTGAACACACTCTAATAGTCTGATGTCCTTCTTACACTGAGTCACCCAAAACTGCACACAGTGCTCAAGGTGGGACCACACCAGTGCAGTGCAGAGTGGGACAATCATCTGCCTCGACCAGCCAGTGATGCTGTGCCTGATGCACCCTAGGACATGGTTGGCTCTTTTGGCTGCCAGGTCACACTGTTCATTCATATTCAACTTGCCATCAACCCAAACCACCAGATCTCTTTCCATGGGGCTGCTCTTGAGCCTCTTGCCCCCTAATTTGTACATATAACCAGGATTACCCTGTTCCAGGTGGAGAATCCAGCACTTCCTCTTGTTAAATTTCATACAGTTGGTGATTGCCCAGCTCTCTAGCCTATCCAGATCTGTCTACCCTAAAGGGAGTCTGCAGCTCTTCTAATTTAGCATCACCAGCTAACTTATTTAATGTACATTTGATTCCTGCATCCAGATCATTTACAAAAACACTAACTAGCACTGGCCCTAAAATTGAGCCCTGGGGAACCCCACTGACATAACCCTATTTTCTATAACTCTTTAAGCCTGACCTGTCAGCCAATTGGTCACCCAATGTAGTATGGATTTGTCTAGCTGTGTTGCTGGGCATTTTGTCCAGAAGGATACTGTTAGAGACAGTATCAAAAGCTTTGCTAAAATCCAAACAAAACACGTTTACTGGCTTCCCTTGGTCAACTAGATGAGTGACCTTGTCATAAAAGGAAATTACATTAGTTAAGCAGGACCTTCCCCTCATGAAGCCATGGCGGCTATGATCAATGACTGTGTGGCCTCTCAAGTGCTTTTCAGTAACCTCCAGAATAACCTTCTCCATAATTTTCCCAGGCACTGAAGCAAGACCAACAGGCTGGTAATTACCAGGGTGTTCCTTTATACCCTTCTTGAAAACTGGGTCAACATTTGCCAGCTTCCAGTCAACAGGTACCTCTCCAGTCTTCCAAAACAGATGAAAAATAAGAGAGAGGTTTTGTGATAACATAGGCCAGTTCTTTCAGCACCCTGGGATGAAACCTATTGGGCCCCATACATTTATGTGCATCCAGCTGGAGCAGCAAGTCTCAAACAAGTTCAGGGTCGGCTGAGAGTTCATCATCCCCCCAGACACGGTCTTTCACCACAAGGTTCTGGGGGTCGCAGAACCCATCATCAGCACTGAAGATAGAGGTGAAGAAGGCATTTAAACATCTCTGCTTTGTCTGTGACCCTATTTGTGAGGTGACCAACCCCATCAAGCAACAGCCCAATGTTATCTCTGACCCTCCTTTTGCTGTTAACATATTTTTAAAAGCTCTTTTTGTTGTCCTTCACAGTGCTGGCCAGCTTGAACTCTAATCAAGATTTAGCTGCGTGAATTTTCTCCCTACAGTGGTGAACAGCATCTCTGTAGTTCTTCCATGTTGCCTGTCCTTGCTTCCAATGTCCACACATTCTTAGTTTTTGAAGTCCAGTATATTCTTTACTTAGTTTCACAATGCAAATCTAAGTATGTTTCTCACACCAAATATATAGGCAATGCTATACTGTTAGGAGATTTAAGATAAAACCACTTAGGCATTCTGGCTATGCCTTCTTGTGGCAAAGTAATTTTAAAGATATAGTTAAGAATAAATATACAAAATATATACAGAAAGTATCCTAAGGCAAGCATCTAAAAAGGTAGAGGCTTCAGACTTGTAAAGGCTGTAAGGAATCTCGCAAGTAAGGAATCTCGCAATAGTCACTTGCAGGAGGTACCATAACAATAAAGAGACCTTAATAAATGGTCCTGAAACTGTTTCATCTGCAAGATATATCTCTCTGTTCAGTTAAAAAGCACATAGCTAAGAAACTACAGTGAGGCACATGCATTTTTATTTGCTACCACTATTATTTTTCACTTTCAGGAGATACTGTTAGTTGTTTCTTTAGAATTCTTTGAGCTGCATTTGACTGTCAGGCTGTGTGATGTGCACTCCCGCACTTATCTGATATCTCATCTTTAGGTGAACTTAAACAAAACAGCTATGGAATTTCCCATACTTACAGATGACTCTCCACTGCTTAGTTGAGTATCAGGAAAAAGAGAAAAACCCACCAGCTCTCTCATTTCATGCTACATCATTTTGTGCTACAGCTGAACAAACTCCCTTTAATTGTCACCTGCTCCAAAGACCTGCACATGTGCCTGTGCTAGTTTTGTTGCCGAGTCCTGCAGGGCCAACACGTGCAACTGAACATAAACCCATTCTGACCAAGACACATGGTATCCGATACATGTTAGACTATTCATGGTTCCCAGCTGTCAAAGCACAGCACATCCTCTAGTGCTGGCCAGGCACAAAGCTATTTAGGTCAAAGAGCACTTAACCATCTCAGACTGCCCTCAGCCAAGCGGCCACACTACAGACAGCCAATTCTGTCTTCTGATGCAGTTTCATAACACTCATGAAGAGCTGTGCTTGAGCTAACAGCGCCTGGAATAACCCACACAGGGATAACTGAGTGCTGACAATACACATCACTTAATTGTAATTACATTCTGCTCAAGATCACTTGATAACACTTCCAAATCTACCGCTCAATTCAAAAAAACTGTTTTTTTTAAATTTTTTTTTTCATTTGGCTGTTACCTCCTTTATGGAGGGTGTATGCCTTATTTCTAGTCAAACAGATGCAAATGGCCCAGCCAATGGTACAAAGCCAAACAAAAAAATAGTCTTTCATCAAGCTACATTTTGCTCAGGAAGGAGCAATCAGACAGCAATCACTGGGTCTGGCTCCAGCCCGTTTTCTTCTCTTGAAAGAAGCATCAGTTATGTGGGTATGTGGGCTAAATGGGTATCTCCTCTTAACCTTTCCCTCCTATACTACAGCCTGCTGGGCCTGTGGAGCTGACAATTAGGAGTTTGACCCTTTTCTAGTCAACAAAGAGTTTATATATCTTAGTATCTATTCCTTCCCATTGAATTGAAGAAAAGCATCACACAATATGCACCATTGTGTGAGTAAAATAGAAGGTAAGGTTGGTCACTGAAGCAGGTTCCCCAGGGCAGTGGTCACAGCACCAAGTCTGTCAGAGTTCAAAAAGCATCTGGACGACACTCTTAGTCATATGGGTTAGTTATAATGGTCCTGTGAGGAGCAGGGAGCTGGACTCGATGAACCTTATGGGTCCCTTCCAACTGAAGATATTCTGTGATACGTACAGTGGTATGTGACAAGTACATCACAAGTCATACTGCCTTTCTGGCTGGCACATTACACACAAATCACCTCTTTTTCCAATCAGTAATGACTCGAGACATTTAAAACAGATGTAAAACATCTACAGTTTTCAGATTAATGTGAAATATTGCTCCTTGTTTTTAGTAATGTGGGAGGGAGAGGAATCAGAACAACCGAAACACTTAAGCAAAACCAATGTATTTTATTTCTATCAAGTTAGTGTTTCATTTTTAAAGAGCTGCAAAAAACAACTTCAGAGAACTGCACCTCTTATAGTTTCCCATTAGTTATCACAGCTACTGAAAATATAAAACACATTTTAAACTTATATTAACTTGAAGCTCTTGTAGTTAGTTTTTGTAAACTTCAGACTATGCTGTAACTGAATACCACAGTCACAAGCATCAAAAGGTTATAGGTACTTTCCATATTAAGTTAGCAATGTCAGATAAACTATCACGTAACAGTACAGCACTGCAAAGTATCTCAATAAATTTTAATTAGGAAGATCATATCTGAAATTTAGGACAGTGCTTGTACATAAAAGCCTATAAACAAAATCTGTCAGCAAAAGCAGTAAGTGGTTGAATTATGTCAACATTTGTATTAAATAATATTTAGTAGACTAATATACCATACCATATGAAAGTAACTCTTTAGAAAGATTATAGTGGATATATTCACCGAATACTTCTGTACTACATACAGCATTTATACTATGAATGGTACTGTTTATGGCAAGGACACTTTCTTTGGTATAATGTACTTAAAATGAAAACAAGTTAGCCACACATATGTAAGGCAAGTGTGTATCAAGGCAGACTCATAACAGAAAGTCCATGATGGCAATGACAATAGTCGCCGCACCGTATGTGTACGGATCGTACTTCAAAATTCTTCTTTTACAGCATGCAGCTACAAGAGATATTTTCCAAATCTTTTAGTAAGAAACTGCAACTCCTATACCTCCAAAAGCGTGTTGTGAATCATTGCCTCCTCAAGAGAAATTATCAATATTGTTTCTTCTAGCATCAGTATTATGTAAAGCTGGAACAGAAGAACAAAAGCAAGCATGTAAACTGTAACATACTCTGAAGAAATAAAGAAAACAGAGAGAACAAATATAAAAATTTTCTGAAGTTAAAAGTTACTCATAATAGTGCAGATAATGACTTCTGTTACCAAGAATGCCACTTTCGCATATAAATCCAGAAAAAGCAGTCTAGGAAAAGGAACTCAGTAACATTATTTGAAATTCAATGAATTTTGGCAAAAACACGAGCAGGCTGCTAGTATACACCCCAAAAATGTCAAAGCTGTCTTAAAGATATCTGCGGCAATATGTGCACCCATCTAGCTTCCAAAGTTTTTCATAATCTAGCAGTTATGAATAATTTCTGTACCAAAAAAAATCTGCTTTCAGTTGTAGTAAGATATTCATGTTATTTGCAGTAAAGTTATAAGGAAAGGAAATTAATCAGTTAATCAACTTCTGGTTTTGGAAGAGAAAAAATGTAATTCAATTTAATTTAATGTTTATATATGGACATTTAATTCAATGCTTATATATGAAGAAGTTGTGCATGTTGTTCTGGAGATTACTTTTGAATACAGTTCTGAAATGTCACAATTTGAGCTTTTCTTTCGGGAGGGAAGAAAGTGGAATGTTCATCAGGTCATATTCTGCACTTGGTGCAATTTTACAGCCAATTTTACCTACCTCACATCTCAAAAATCTGTTCTAGGAAGACTTATCTAGTATTATGGGACAGCAGCAGTCAGACTGCTTCATAAAGCTAACATATCCTATATTCAAAACCTGACTGCTGCAATCACATATTCTGGAATTCCCTGGGTGAATTTCTCTCCCTCTCTAACTTCTCCCTCTCCCTCTTGCTCTGTTCATAAACATTCACAATTTCTTCATCTCTGACATCAAAGCACAGGAGTTCAAGTCGAAAACCTTTGTTTTTTCATGGAAAAAAAAAATGCATGCTCACAGAACATGCAGCAATTACTGTAAAAATAAATCCAATCATGAGGGTATTTTACACACTTCTGTCTTCTCATCACATAACAGAATAGGAGCATGTTTGTATCTTTTCTAAAAGATTACTGAAATTTGCACTATAGAAGTGATATATGAAGAATTTTTTTATTGCTGCCCCTAATGACTAGCATCAGCACTTACTTTTTGTGGTCCTTGTCTCTCTTCAAACTAACAGGGGTAGAGACAGATGCTTGTGATTGGAGTAAGTCAGCATTCGCTTTCTTCTCAATAAACATAGTTATTTCATCTTCTAGAACTTTTTTCGTTTTCTCTAATTTCAGTTTCTCTCCTTGAAGCATTAGCATAAGATGTTCAAATTTAGTCTGTATCTGTTTAAAGAAAGCACAAAAACATTTCCAACTAGTAACACAAGGTGGTGATGTCACAATACAAAACCCTTCTGCACTCAAACAGCAAAACCTACCTCAACTTGGGTTACAATGCTAAGAAATTGCAGGCTTTTCCCAAAATTGGTAAGACTAAAAAACAACAATCCAGAAAAATAATAATTCCTATCAGATTGTTCTCACAGAAGCGAGGCTACTACACACAAAGTATGGGTGGCAACTGTAGAAGACACCAAATGAATATTAGATTTCCTATTAGATTTCGTACTAGATTCAACTATCTCTTTATTATATCAAAAATAGGGAGGCCTTTAGAGGGGAAACAATTACTAACAGAAAGACTGAATCAGGATCTGTCAAGTAGAATCTACCTCCTTAAAACCAAGTGGACTAAGTATCATACACACTTTAGTTACAAAGGTATGGATTTTCATATATATTGATATGTATATTAATTACATTTACACATTAATATGTATACACACAGTAAGTCTGGCTGGGGGAGTTACTTGTGGGCTCCAAGAAGTTAACTGCTTTTCTGAAGTAACTGTTATTGATTGTTCTTCTGACATATTAATAGATTTTACTCTCCAGCTGCATTTTGACCAGTTTAAATCTACTGTGAAGTTGTGCATAACCAAAGGGTACTCCACCCCTCCTCACCTCCCACCTCCCCACACACAAACTGTCCTAGAATCCTACTTCTGTATCCATGTGGATTGGTGTAAGTCAGTCTGAGTGCAGATATACTGGTATAGAAATCAGAGAGGATTATTTCCATCTTTTTCAAAGAAGGAACTAAGAAATAACTCAGATTATAAACACAACAGTATGCCTGTTCTACACAGTAGAGCTGTCAGATTTAATAAATGTGTGTGTGTGTGCGTGCGTATGTATACTATTAATTTATCTATTTAATTGCAAGAGTTAACCAGATGCATTGCAAAAACAGGCATACCAAAAAAAATATTCACGGTAGAAACAGTAAGGTCCTAAGCAACGTCTCAGGAGTAGTAATGCTGCACATTGCAGCTACAAGTTTCCTCTAAATGAAGGATGTGAAAGCAATCTTAAGTACAACAGAAATTCTTGTTTTTCCTTTGTTTCCAGATACACATACACACTTCTCAGAGAACAAGCAGCAATAGTATACAACAAATGTTCTTTAGGAGTGACTGTATGATCACTCTCCCACATCAGGAACAGAGAAAACTAAATAGCCATAACTCAACTGTAATATGCAGAGCTCGCAAACTGCCTGGTATAAATCATAGACAGAAAACATCAAAAATCTTACACAGATACTGTGTAAGACCTAGCTGGACCTATTCTGAACATGGCCAAGTATTCTCCCAATTGGATAGCCTCAATTAAGAAAGACTGAACGTGATTTTTTTCCTCCACAAGTAGCATGATGGATTCACAGATTTAGAAAAAAAAAAAAAAAAAAAAAAAAAAAAAAAAAAAAAAAAAAAAAAAGTATTAATCCTTCTTTTTATTTAAAACATGCATCTGAACACTCCACAAAAAACTGCTCTATCTCTGCTGGGAGACTGATGTATAGAAAAGAACGTTAAATACAGACAGGTTTCTAATTTCAATGAAACCAGTGTTTGAATACAAATACACATGACCATAACAGAGTCTGGCAGAAAGTAGGTGAGAAGATCCTGTTTTGCCAGTTCAGCTTGACAAGACTAAATCTTCAACAACATATACAAGAAACATTCCACACCTCCAAATATTCTTAAGGCAGCTGGGAATAGGTGATATTTTAAAGCCAAAACAAAACCAAACCAACAAAAACAAACCCCTGCACTTTCAAACTTCTCAACATGAGGATTGAGCTTATATTTAATAACTGGAGATCACACAAACGTACATGCCCCACTCTCTCGGCCTGAAAAGCAACCTATGGGATTTTTTTCCCCTGAAATCTTGTGTTTTACAAAACAATTTATGCATGAAAAGCACCTACTGTGCTTCTACAGCATACAGATATTTCTCAGCATACTGCTAGAGGAGATGAAGAAATAGGCATTCATTACAAACATCACTCTCTTACTTCATCATATCACCTCCTACTCTATTGACTGTTCCAGCTACCCACCAAAGCCTTACCCACCAAAGGACCATAAGCTCCCTCCTTTTAAAAAAAAGACTGCCATTTATAGAATCATAGAATCATTCAGATTGGAAAAGACCCTTAAGATCATCAAGTCCCACCATTAACCTAACATTACCAAGTTCACCAGTAAACCATCCCCCTAAGCACCATATCTACACATCTTTTAAACACCTCCAGGATGGTGACTCAACCACTTCCCTAGGCAGCTGTTCCAATGCCTGACAACCCTCTCCATGAAGAAATTTTTCCTAATATCCAATCTAAAGCTCCTTTGGTGCAACTTGAGGACATTTCCTCTCACTCTATTACCTGCTACTTGGGAGAAGAGACTGCCATCCACCTTGCTACAGCATCCTTTTCTCCAGGCTAATCCACCCCAGTTCCTTCAGCTGCTCCTCTTAAGACTTCTTGTTTGCTTGTCTAATCAATCTGCTAATCCAATCAATCTGTAATCAATGTGCTTTTAAGCACTGCTGCCCTCAAAATATTAATAAATTATAAACATCAACTAGTTGTGATTTTGCTAAGAACTTAGCTGTTTCAAATCTCAGCAAACAAACTCAAGACCAACAGACAAGCATGCTTACCTGTTGTTCTGCTTCTTTCAATATTGTTTCTTTCTCTTTCACTCTCTGCACAAACCGTTGTCTCATCTCCTCCTCTTTTCTTTGCATTTCAAGGTAGAACTCATGTCTCTTTGCCTCATAGGCTTCCTGTAGACTGAAGTCCAAAAATGTAAGCAAGTCTCTAGTACACTGCTTTGTTCAATGTGGAAAACCAACAATCTGGAACATTTTTGAACAATTAATATTCCTCTGAAATCTTAATTTCTACAGCTCCCCACATAAATATTCATAAACAAACCTGAACAGAATCAAGTATCTTATTTTTCTAAATTTTTATTAAACAACCCTGAGTAAAATTATTTATTCTAACAGCTCCTGGATAATTTACATTTCAAAGTAAATACAGCACTTTAGGAATCTCATGTTCTAGAAGACCTGAGTTGTAATTTTCTGCCTCCAACATACATAACATTTTTCTTTAAGTTAGTTAGTAATAAGACCCCAAAATTGCCACAAAAGCCTCCCGAAATTTCCATATTGTGAAATCTCAGTCTTAAAATAGGACATTACAAAACTAATGCTTCTGGAGCATTAACACAACTAACAAAACAAATATATGAAAAGGAAAATAACAGGATGTTAAAAATATACAGCATTCTCTTTATGTAATGTCAAAATTTAAATATAGAGATACACTAATATAAAATAAATACAACTTCCTACATATTTCAATATCCAAAAGATAGGGTTACTTTCCAACAAGCATCAGGCAAAATCTCAAGATTGCTTGTTTCTTCCTGAATCCCCTCTCACAGAAGCTAATATACAGCATACATACCACATGTATATTTTAATTTATATAGGAGGTGGAAACTAGTTCAGATGGTTGAGCAAGTAACTTTTAAATCCATGCCTCCCTCCCCCCCCCCCCTTTTTTTTTAAGAAAAGTTACCTACTAGACATTTCAGTACACAAGACAAATTTTTTCCTCCAAACAACAGGCACTTGAAATTGAGAAACTTCTTTCATATCAAAGCATATCACAGCAAATTAAAAGATACTGGTAAATTATTCATATACTAGTAGAGGTTTGACATTTTCAGGGTCTATACTACCACTGTGATCACCCCAGTGCTGGCAGGGAGTTCTTACACCATTTATCTCTTCTAATACTTCCTGACTGCTGACTAGTCAGTTGTTCCCAGCTATCCTGAGTTACTGTCCTTTGCCAGGTATCTCCTGCCTTCCACTCTGATTTAAAATAAATATATACCAAATATTTAAATTTGCTTTATATTTTTAATACATATACACACTTTTGTACCAGTTTAAGTCTCATCTTTTACTGTTTCTATTAAATCAGCTTATAAATGGAAAGACTTACAAAACAGGGCATCTAAAAATTTAATTATTTAGACCTACAGTAAGCTTAAACAGCTCTCTTCTGTACTTAAATTTATGATGACTGGGCAGTTTCCAAATCCTAAAGTTTCTCATCTGTATTCAAAATATAATCTAAAGAGAGAGAAGAATGGTCTTGACGTTATACAAGCAGACAATGTTTGCAAGGTCTCAGGGTCAGGGCACTTTTCCTATTCTGTCTTATTTGAGCAATATATTGCAACAAAATAAATTCAGAATAACCACCTTTTGGGGTTTGGTGGGATTTTTTTCATCAGCTGTGAAGTAACTTAGGTCATCCTCAAATTGGATCTAACACGTGAAACAAGGGCATAGTTTTCAAACAGGTATATTCATTCATACTATCTTTATGTTTAGACAGCATATGTAATAACAATAAATCTACAGCACAGGTTTTTCAAGTGCTAGCAATCTCAGTGTACACACTTTTGGGCCCTGTGTCAGTTCTGCTAGCTGACATGCTGCCTTTGGTTGCAATAAAGCCGCTAGAGCAAATGCTAGACTAAGCTAACATGCTGCAATCACACCTTCATTTCACTGTGTGGACAACTTTAGACTCAGCCTAAGGTAGTTCAATCAGGTAAAAGTAATTTTGTCTTCAAATTAGTAAAAGATTAACTTTGAAGACACTGGATTTACTAAGTAATCAAATTACATGTATAAGGAAGGGGAGAAATAAAAGTGTATTTTTAAATCCCCCCTCCCCCTGGACTGAATTGTTCTGTAAATCACAAAGACAAAATTAAAACAAACTTTCCTCTCCTGTGTTTGGCATATCAGCAACAAAATGATCCAAACAGCCTTTGGTTTTAGGAGGTTTGGGGAGGAGTGGAAGATAGGTCACCTGAAGGGATTCCAACAGTACTGCATCTACTGCTCACAGTAAAACACTTCTCAGTTTACCTGAAGTCCAGGTTCACGGCTGCTCATATAGTACCCTATGAAAACCAAAGTCACAGGTTCTCTCATTCTTCTGAGCTGAACCTCTAGAATTTTATACTCTGCGCAAAACCACTTGCAAAATTAAGACGCTAAAGATAATTATTTAAATCAAGTATACTTACTGAGGTTTTGGAGGAAGGGTAGGGATTGTGAAGAAAATCTACACCTTACTAATCCATTACATAACTCTTAACAGCAGTATCACCTACCTTTCTGCAGATGCATACTTGTGACATAACAGTTTTTCTATCTACACAAGACTTAGAACATGGAAGCCTAAATATAAAGATGCAAATCAAACGTGTTCTGTTCATAAGTAAAGACTGATTGAAGTTAATTCAACCCTCAGTGAAACACAATGTTTGTGCCTCTGAACAACACAGGTATTGACACAGCATTTTACAGTTTGTTCATTTAAATTTTAAAAAGTTTTCAAATTTGAAAACTACACTTATAACTTTTTGCTTAATTTTTGACTATCAATTAAGATATATCAGAAAAACTAAGACATTTAAAAGTTAACTAGTAGCAGCTATTTTTAGCATGGTCCCTTGACTTAGTGAGCTACCCAAGTTGATATTAAGCAATACTAAGGATGTGGTAGATCGAAATAATTACCATTTTCCCATTGGAGGCATGAAAAACAAATATTTTGGATGCAGTTCAGTCTTACCATAAGGAGGATAAAATATTTAGCTCAAATGCAAAGGTCTGCAGTTGGTCAGATTAACTCTACTCTGCACTTGTCAGGCCACACCTGGAACACTGTTCAGTTTTGGTCCCCACTATACAAAAAAGATATGGACAGGCTGGAGAGGGTCCAGAGAAGGGCCACAAAGATGATCAAGGCACTGGGAAGCATGCCACGTGAGGAAAGGCTGGGAGAATCAGGGGTTTTCAGGCTTGAGAATAGAAGGTTTAGGGAAGATCGTATCACCATGGTCCAGTATTTAAAGGGTGACTACAAAGAAGATAGAGTCTCCCTTTTTACAAGGAGTCACATGGAAAGACAAGGAGCAATGGGTACAAGTTACCCCCAGGGAGATTTCAATCGGACATAAGAGGAATATTTTTCACAATGAGAACAATCAACCATTGGAATAATCTCCCCAGGGAAGCGGTGGATTACTCAACATTAGACACTTTTAAGAAAGGTTGAACCAGATGATCCTTGAGGTCCCTTCCAACCTGATATTCTGTCATTCTATGATTGAACTCCATTCTCAAATGACTTCTTAAGGATGAGGTCTAATAGCCTTTCAGATATTAGGTTTCCTTTCTTAGAAAAGATAATGAGAGTCATAGCAACATTCCTTTACATGTAAACTTATGCACATCACTGAATCCTTCCTGTTTTTTTCTGTCATCATCCTCAAAACAGACTGAAAAATAAACATGTTTTTGTTCAAGAACTGCAAGGTCTGAATGTCCTAGTTTCAGGGAGGAATAAAGCATGGAATATTTGATTGCTCACATATTGAGAAACTGAGATGTTTATGTTACAATTATGTTTAACTGCAATTATGATGAAGAACAAATTGTAATTTTGAGCACAGAAAAACAACTAAAAAGAGAATGCTTAACGTCACAAAATCAAAATATGCAAGCATACAGCCTGAGTATCAATTTTTGGCTTTTTTCAACAAATCCTGAAGTACCATATGGTGGATTCTTCATTTTTAAAGTGGTTTACCAGATTTTATATTTTAATCTGATATGGTACATACATATACCATAACTCTCATGACCTTCTGGAATGATACCCCACTATGAGATTGAATTCTTCATAAAAAAGCTTTGTATATTGTATTTGTGAGGTAAATTAATGAGATTAAGTAAGTTCCCAATTACCCATTAATTTATGTTATGCTAATTATTGTTATCCAGTTTAAATAAATAATGGTTTGATAAAATGCTAGTAATAAACCAGGTGTCCTGAAAGCAGAAGAATTAATAGCCCAAATTCTTATGGATTACTTTATGTTCTGTTCTCTCAATGATCATAATACTCAAAGTCCTGCCTACATCCTTAGACCTTTTTAACTCTGCAATTAGTGCCCCTCCATACTTCCAAAATATTCTTTACTTATTGTGAGTACTTGTGTGGATCTTTCATGTGCAGTAGTCATAGCTACTTCCAAACTACCCGTGACCTTCTCATCCTACTGCAGTACTGCCAAGCTTCCAAGAGTTTCAAAAGACAGTACTTCATTCAGAGGAAATGATTTACTGACAATAAATGCACATTGGCTGGCCAACAACTGGTAGGAGCAGAGGTCTTCTGCTCTTCCTGCAGTGAGAACACTAACCATGTAATCCCCTGGAAGCATCCAACCCTTTACTGAAGTTTGAAAATAAGAGTTGGCTCATAAATTATTAGGGAGAGATTAACAGACTGATCATGTAAATTTCATTTACCATGGAAATCTGGTTAATGAAAAAGTTAATTCTTAGAATGCAATTGCAAATAAACAAATTAAAAAGTTACTATGACACAAATTCAAAAGAAGTGTAGGATTAGGGAATAGGTATGTTTAAAAGTGTACACAAGACAGTCACTTCAGGCTACTACTACTACTTGTTTTCCCTCCTCACACCTAGTAATAAAGATGCAAATATATTCTTCCATTGTATGCTGAACCCATCTCTTTCAATGTCTCCCATTAAAAAAATAAAGCTTGCCAACATGTTTTTTCACATGTAAGAGTGAAAGACTTTACAGATGTCTGCCCACAAGCTATCTCACAAAGTAGCTGAAAATCCAGTAATTTGGTTTTACTTTGCAGTGGCGTACAGTTTTGTATGAATAAACTACTGTTGCACTTTTAAATGCAAAAAAGTGGTACAGGAACTTCATAGGCAGCTTTTTCACAACATGCCAAAAGGCACAGCCTGTTAGCTACTCAAGTGTCCTGAAAGCAGAAGAATTAATAGCCCACAACGTGTGTTGGGTTTGTGTGTGTGTGCCAGGGTTTTGGTAATGGTGGGAGGGGACTATAGTGGTGGCTCCTGTAAGAAGTTTCTTGAAGGTCCCCTGGCTCCAAGTTGGACACGCCTCTGGCCAAGGCTGAGCCAATTAGTGACAGTGGCTGTGCCTCTGTAATAACATATTTAAGAAGTGGAACTTGAGAGGAAGAGTTGGAGTCATGAGGAGGAGCTGCGAGGAGGACACCTCTGCAAACACCAAGGTCAGTGGAAGAAAGGAGGAAGAGGGAAGTGGGGAGGAAGTGCACTGGAGCAGAGATCCCTCTGCAGCCCATGGTGAGAGGCAGGGCTGACCCCTTGTCACCCATGGAGGTCCACAGTGCAGCAGATGCCATGGGAAGGAGTAAGTGAGCAGCTCCATGGTGCTCAGTTGCCCTCCAGGCTCAAAACACGACACAATGTTCATACGCTACAAACCCCAGTGCAGTAAAATCAGCCAGTTATTCAAGTCTAGCAGAAATTTTCTAAATTTACGTAAAATAACCCAATTCATATTGCCAAATTAAGTATTTGGACAGCTACATCACAGGTACAAAACACAACTTTTCAACATGCATTTTGATCATTATTTACGCAAGTAACGTGAAATTTTAATCATCATATACTGCTGTGCAACATTAACTATACTTTAGAACTACAGCTCATAGAAGCCATGTGTATATATTGTAAAAATCTTCAAGGACAAAGAGTATGATAATTTAGTAACACATTTTTGCCTAGAAGTCCCTATTCTGAAAGACACTTAAATTCACAAGTCAGCAAAACAGGAAGCACTGAACTTCCTCTATGGAAAGAGATGTTTTCTATCACACTGCTGAGGATGACACTTTTTATCATTTCCTGAGCAGCTTCATAAAACACCTTAGAGGTAAGGCTACGGTAGTCTGCTAATTACACTACATACAGATCCTCTAAATTCTCTTCCCTTTTTACAGTATCATAAAATGTGTCTCCCAAAAGACCTAATGCCTTCTCTTTCAGACCTCAGTGTCATTCAGTATGTCACAATAATTGAGGGACAACCACACATCCTATATCCAGTCCCACTTTTCTCTTCCTGACAAAGTAAATCTGGGAAAATGTTAATTTTTCTAGATTCTTATGGAATACCTATTCTCATCCTTCCAAAATAATGACATATACCAAAATTAAGTGTATTGTCTCACCACAAAGCTCTCAATAAACTGACATTTAGTGGGCCATACATAAAAACTATACACCAAAGGGAATTTAGCTTTTCTGTATCTCCATGAAGGAATCCATTTCTAAACCAACTTCTGAAGCATAAAATACTATGACATTCTGATACAAACCTGCTACTTTATATCATTAGTAAAATGCAAACTGTTTAGGGGTTTTGCAAAGACAATTTTTATGTTTGTGAGGAAAAGCTCTGGTTTAAGTTGGTATTCCCCATCATGACTATGCAGTAATAGCATTCTGCTAAACTCTGAAGCTTCAACTCCTGAAGCATCAGTTCTTCCCCATCAGGATACTAACCACTTACAAAAACGGTCCCATGCATAAAATGACTAAAGGAAGTTGGAATAGGGGGAGGGAGATAACAGAATTAGAAATAAAATACTAAACAAACTATATATAGAAATTGTAAATACCTCCTGCAGGAAGCAGCTTTACTACATTAAACAACCTAGTGTAACCCTCTGCTTAACTTTCTTTTGGAATCCTCTATTAACTTCCTATAATCTAGCAAGAGATTTCTTGATCTGAAAAGGCTAGACATTTGTTATTGTGGCAGATAATGTGGGAAGCCAACAGTGTAACCAATGATGTTGGAAATGTTTTTGCTTCAGTTCCTTCTGAACTTTGAGTCCAATCAAACCATTGTTCAGAATCAGACATTATTAAGAAAGAAAGTAAAACAGCATGCTAATATATAATGAAAATAATTTAAAAGGCGTAAAAGTGCATGCAACTGAAGAAAACTGATATTCTCCATGACAAAAATTAAAATCTCCAGATTTATTCTAAAATAGAAAGATTTCAGAAATACGGCTAACTTGTATGCCTTTAAAAGCAATGGTCATATAATCCCATATACTTCTCCATGAAGATAACTGAACAGCTACATAATTACTCTGATTAAAAAAACAAACAAACAAACAAACAAAAAACACCAAAACACAATTCTTTTCCTCTTAGAAAAATCTATTCTGTGTATGAACCCTGCTCTGTATTGGGTTGATATGGTCAAATGTGAAGTGAACAGATGCTGAAAGCAAGTGCTGCACATGAAGTCCTTTACCTGACTAGTTTGTTCTCAGGACCAAGGTCTCTGAAGCCCATCTTTTCCAGTCTGCAGCGTCTGTACAACTCATAATGTCGTGCATGAGTCTGCTCTCTTAAGTCTTCCATATTTGTGCAAATAAGCATCTGGCGAAGCTTTACAAAGTCACAGTGATTCTCATTTTCCACTAATCAGTTAAAAGAGAAAGATTATTATGTGCAAATAGCAAAATTGTCAAAATATATTTTAAACAGCACTGAGATTCATTTATTTTGGTTACTAATTATACTACCAGGAAAAGGTATCTTGTTATTATACCTCTTATACTTTCTTAAAATTTCTAATATACACATTGAAGCACTAACTGTAAGTACTGGTGAACATGCTCCAACACATCCTGATTTCCTGTTCAAGTTGAACACGGATAAATTTCTCTCTTTTTTCACTCTTCTTTACTGACAATAAAATCAGTAATCATAAAACTTTGAAACCTGGTAGTGCCAGAGGCACTGCCACCATACTAACCTACCCAAATATTACATACACCATCTCATAGCTTGATTCCAGAGATGCATCAGTGCTGATAAAAATACCAGTTAGTGCATACCTCAACTATTAATTGCTCAACTCCTTAAACTGTTGATCCAAAATAGAATTAATATGGCATCATTGGACAATACCAGCCCATTTTGGTATTGGTGAATTTTAAACTTCAACAGCAACAACAAAAAATCTCATAAAAATACCTTTGAAAATTCATTTACCTTCTACAATGCCCCAAGGGTACTGACGAGCTCTCACCATTTTGTTTCCAATTTTCACTTTTTCTGTACTACCTACTACAGCAAACGGCAAATGCTCCTGTAAGAGTCACACAAATACAGTCTTATGTCTCAGCATTCTTATGTCAGAACTAAAAAGGAAACACTTCAGAAAACCACCATTTCAGGAAAAGCCAACAAGCAGTTTCAAACCAGAAACCACTGGTTTCTGTAGCTAGTCAAACTAATGATACAAAAGTCCAAGTTACAGCAACAGAACAAGGAGGAGCGGTTGATAGACCAGATAGGTGTGCTGCCAACTCAGAGGAACCTTGACAGGCTGGAGAGATGAGCCAACAGGAATTTCATGAAGTTCAAACGGGAACAATGCCAAGTCCGGCACATCAGGAGGAATAACCCCATGCTCCAGCACATGATGGGGCCTGACTGTCTGGAAAGGCACTTTGCAGAAAAAGACATGGGATTCCTGGTGGACAACAGGTTGGACATGATTCAGCAAGTTTGCCCCAGTGGTAAAGGCAGCCAACTACATCCTGAGCAGCCTTAGGAAGAGTATCAGCAGTAAGCAGAAAACCACTCCAGAACACATCCCTCTGATTCACATTTAGCCAGAGTTCATATCCCCAGTAACAACCATGAGATGATCACAGGCTCCAACCCAAGGGATGGTTGCTGCTGTGGGCTCAGCCAAATGGCCAGAAATACAGGCTGAATACTGATTGTCTGTGTGCTGACTCACAAAAACTGATCAAATAAAAAAAGGTATCATTGACTGGAAAATAAATCCTTAGCAGAGCATGAAAGGGGTAAGTAACAGACCACCACCTTTCCCCAGAGCAGAAGGTCTTATTACTGAACAACAACCTGCACATCCTGAGTGCCTGGCACAACTGACAGAGGTTGGGACTGCAGAGCCATACACAGTGGCATACTGGCTCCTCCTCCCTACTTCCAAACCCCAGTACGTGCAAACACATGTTTGTGTGCATCTACAGACATATGCAATTCCCAGAGAAAATTTGTCCTAATTTCAAATGAAAGTACTAAATAAACAGAAAAAGCAGAAGGAAGGCTTGCTATCATAAAGACCAGAGAAAACCGGAGAAACGAGGCACTTGAGTATCTTCCCTAACAGATGCAAGTAGTATTTGCTGAGGAAAAGAGCGAAGTCAATCTGTCCATCTATGTTAGTAATTATCCAGAAATTAGAAAGAGCATCTATGAGTGAGAATCTCTCTTCTGTTGCTGAGACAGAAAAGAAAAAGCCTCCTAAGACAAGAGGTATCAACAGCAGAGGGACAGGGAGACTGGTGAGTAGGAAAAAAAAAAACAAAAAACCCAAACAAACATACGAGCTTTCTAAGCAGAGAGAAAATAAACAAATTAACTTATTACATACAAACCTGTAAGCCTCAAAATAATGATGAAAGAACAGGCATGAACCGGCATTAGAGACTAATGCTTTAGTACTGAAATATCAATATTTTTGTCATTTACTTACATTCATGATGGAATTAATTTGAGAAACGGTTTCATCATCAGTTGGAAACTGGTAGATCTGGACACCATTACTAACGAGTTCACTCATTATTTTCTTCTTGAACTTCTGTAGTTCGGTTTTAGAAATGCTGTCTGCTTTGCCTATGATTGGTATAATGTTCACCTATTAATGATACAAATTATATGAAATGTGTAAGGCTTCAATTTTGACATGACATCTTTCATAAATTAAATTGTTTGGTGATAAACCCTTTAAAACTTCCCCTACAGTCCAAAGTTTTCCATCAATTGATATGAAAGCTTCACAAACCACGAAAAATACATTCAGTGGCATAAATTAACAAAATAACAACAGATTATTTAATATACTCCCTTAAAATTTATTGATTCTAAGAAAAGAACAAGGAAGAGGGTCTCACACAGTGAAGTGCTCAAAAGAACTCCCCCATTTCCTAAAATAGTTATGACAGTACATTAGGAAGGTAGTAGAGGCTGAATTTTTCTTAAAAATACTGTCAGCACTCCCAAAACATGCACTTTCAGAACCAGAATTAATGCCAATGTCCAAATATCTTGGAAGAACAATACAAATAATTCTTCCAGATTTCAGAAGACAAGAGTTTTATAGAGGTCCTTGATCACAGATGCAAAAGGGAAGGAGGAAACAAACAAAAAAACACCAAAAAAAAACCCTTATGCATTCTTTTTATTCTTCAGAATACTATGTCTGAAAGGAAGTGTCTAGCATGGAATCTCAAGAATGGATGGATGTTTTTGAAATAAGTCTTCTGTACTAACCAAATGAAAAGAAAACATGCCAACTCCAAAGTATGACTTCTCAGATTATTCCATGATAGTCCTTAATTACCTAGCATACACAACCTAAGTACGCATGAGGTAAAATATCTAAAAATCAAATAAAATGCTAGAACTTTTTTTTTTTTTATAATTGAGTAAATTTAGAATTGTATAAACAATCTATTACAGCTAGGAGTAATTCACAGCTTCAATCAAATTCGCCAAGGGACATCAATTTAGGTTCCCTATCATACAGCTTTAAAAATGGATGGAATTCAGAGTCCTCAGAATTAAATTAACCTTTACCCTGTCTTTTCAACATTAAAGTTTTTCAAGCACTCATTAATTAGGAGAGACTATCTTATATAATAAATAGCAGAGAAAAACTACTGAGGAGACCAGTAACAAAAGAAAAGCAAAATTGCCAGAAAATGTGATTACAGCTATCAACATTGATGTTAAATCACAACCACTGTATTAAAATTCAAAAGCAATACTACTCTGGCTTTAGATAACCAACAAAAGTTATCTTCACTTAATCTGTTAAACAAAATCAATTTCTGCTTGCAGCATCTATGGTTTACTTGAAAACTAGTATCTCAGTACTTTCATCCAAGAATAACATTAATTGAAAGCACACATTTGTACTAACAAGAGACTTGAAACTATACTGATTTGGACCACATATGTGTGCCCCAAGTCCCAGTGCTTCCTCCTGTGCCTACTACTCACTTGGAAACCGAAAGACTCCCATCCAGCCTCTTCCCTAGCTACAATGCTCAACAACTACAAAACTGAATTTTCCTACAGAGCTACAGGCCATTAAATACAGAATTGCTTTAACTCCACAATAAAATAAAAACAACAGTCCTGCCCTTCCTCTTTCCCTTGCCCGCAGCTGCTTTTGCCAGGTCAAACTAAAATCTGTGCAGACATCCAAGGAGGCAGATTACTTTTCAGCTTGATCAGTTCCCTAACCAAGCAAAAATCTTTAGCTTTCAATTTAAATCAGTGCCCTCATCCAGGGAACTGGTTGCCCAAAACACTTAAGCATGCACAATGGCAAGAAGTAGCCGAGACTGCCTCATTCAGTAAGGGAGCAGAATGACCATATAAAGTCACCAGGATACACTTTATCCATGGACGTTACTTCTCCGTTTCTAGCACCAAATTCAGCCCTCTGACCATACTTCTGCCTGAACTGCAAAGAGTTGCTTCGCCCCGCAATTAGAAAACATGCTGTTACTCTAAATTAAGATTTTCATGTAACACCTTACGTTGAGGTCAAACATCTGCTGCCCCTTTATGCCATAGAGAAGGAAAAAAAACCCCAACATATACTTGAAATTATTATTGGTTGATATCTTGCAGGCTGATTTAAGTGTATCTCTATGTATCAATGCAAAAATTTCCAAAGATTATTTTGAAGAAAAAGAAAACGCTCAAACCCCACGAGGTAAACTCATGTAATTTCCTGATTTACCAGTAATCTGTAATTCTGCAAGAATTACTTAAAAACACAGATCCACTAGTTGAATAATCATTAGTTCCCAGCAAGAAAGCATACAGAAGATTCCCTTAATCTGTGAATGAAACCTGGCTGCTCTGTAGTGATCAGTCTTAAACAAAACTACAGGACTTTCCAATGTCTAAAAGCTAGAGGCCAAATTCTTAGCTAGCCATCTAATTTATAAGCAATAGAGAAAAAATTAATTGCCCACAGACACATCTGTTTTTTTTCTCCCAGGGAGTATAGGATGACCATATCCTACTCCAAGAATCCTCTTAATGGCTGAGCTGTATAATCTAGTCTTGTTTTGTACCAAGCAGACCATAACAAATGTAACAGTGTACACTGTGGGGGATTTTGGAAAAAACTGAAAACAACTTTTGACACAGATTTGTACACTTGGTGTATGCATGTTGCTGTGCCACCTTCTCTTTATGGAACCCTGTACTCAGCACCCAGGGACTTCTACATCCTGGGAAATCCCGAGTTCTGAATTGCCACTAGGAGAATGCAGTACTAAAAGCATCACAAACACGGTTCACAATGACGGAAAACAAACTACAGTTAAAGTATTTGTGTGTGTGTGTGTGTGTACATATATATATATCTATCTATATCTATATCTGTAGTAAGATCAGAATGTAGAATCCATTGCAAAGGGTTAAAACAACAAAGTTACATGCCCTTCATGTTCTGTCTGAGCCAAAGCAGAATCAAAAATATTTAGAGTAGGTGGCTAGAAGCTAAAATCCCCTAAAGCATAATTATTTTTGGTTTATCCTGATGGAAAAATATTTTCTTATGATGCTGGGAGTCATGGATCTATTTCATTTTATTTTGGAAGAAACACTTGTTTTACAGCGAGTTCAGTCAAGAGGGGGCACAACCTAGAAACCAAGTACTTTTGTGGTTTAACACAGCCTCCAACTTCAAAACTCAGAGAACAAAATGCTCCATGAAACTGTCCCATTTCCTAGTATCAAGGCTCTTTAGTTATCACTGCATATTAAAAAGTGGTTTCACAAACACTTTAATCTGCCATAAACCAACATCATAGCAGAAAGAAGGGACCCTGCTCTCCCTTACCACTGTCTCACCATACCTGCCCTCCACTTGCTCTGTGCTACTGAGAAAGTTCAAAATGCAAAATACATCCACAAACAAAATTACAAAAATACCAAATGTGCTCATCAAACACAAATGTGGAACAAACAGCTGATTTGATCCTCTTGAAGAAACATTTCATGAACAGGTGATTGCAGAAAGAAAATTTAGCAAGAGAGGTTCTAGTGAAGCACAAAGAGAAAAACAAGAGGAAGAGCAAATGCATTTAAATTTCTAAGTTTCTCCTAATTTCAACAAATTAATCCCAAATGATGTAAGATTTCTTAAAATGGGTTAAACGTTTAGCTTCATCCAGTTCACACAGCTCCATTAGAGGAAGAAAGTTAAAAATTTAGAAAGTGCAAGTAGTCACACTAGAAACTGCTATTTTAAAGCTTTCAAAACAAACCAAGATGTAAAGTTTAAAACACTAATTCAGCCTATCTCAGAAAAAGCCATGCTGGCAGGGTGTTCTGTTCATGGCACTTCCCTCTTCAGTAATCTATAACAAAGACCTTCACGGTGATGCGAAGCTTTTTATATTCCAATTTTCCAGCAGTCTCAAAACTCCACAGTGAACTAGAAACAAGCTTAATTTAAAATGTTACAGCACTCACGGAGGGTACCCTATCTAATCACAGTAAAATGTTAACAGTTTGTTAAAAGTTAAGTTGATGTGGTTCTAATTTTTTTTTTAACCTTGTTGTGCTTCTTTTTTCAAAGTTCTTGCCAGATGCCTCTTTCCTTTTGATTTAAAAAAAAAAAAAAAAACAACAAAAAAAAAAACGGTGAACTGCAAGCTACCTGAGGAACCAAATTCTGAAAACATCTCAAAATCAAAAAACATACCAAAACCAAACACAGATACAGAACTGAAATGTGGTAGAGAATCTACAAGCGGCAAGATGCTTCACAAAATGACAAATTCTCGGAACTCTGTTTCAAAGTCTTACCTTGCTGTCCAGGTTTTTCATGGTTAACAAATCTAGGGATTTTAGGGAATGGCCTGTAGGTGAAATGAAATAGAGGCAGACATGGATGCGAGTATCATGGTAGCTAGATAAAGAACACTTGATTTTCAGTTCTTCCTGGAGATAGGCTTCAAATTGTGCACCTATATAATCCACTATTGGCTGATAACTGTAAGAAATAAAATTTAACAACCAGAGATTAGCTACTTCTAAACAGAGCCAGACTAAGAAAGGAATTCCTCTTGTATTGTTTTGAAGATTTTTTTTCTTTACATGTCAAAAGGCTGCTCAAGTACCTACCCAGTACAGCAGAAGATTAAATCTACAGTGATCTTAATTTCTGAAAGGCTACTCAAAAAAGAATTGTGTACCTAATACAGATAAAACATTTCCTAGCTATTAGTGAAAAAAGCTATGTATAGTTAGTTACAATTATAATTGATCTTCCCAAGCAATGTTTTATAAAGTTTTGCAATCAAGGTGTGCAACTGCAGAACACTTAGATACAAGGAAGATAGAAAGAAACTCTTAGATATAATACAAGAAAAGGAAGAACATGCAATTACCAGTACCAAGAAATAGGACCTCCTTTATCTTCTGAAGATGAAGTACTGTACGTGAGAGAGCTCTTAAACAGTAGACAAAAATTGAAAAGGAGGAACGTAAGAGAAGAATGTAAATCTGATTTGCAGTAAATACAGTTTAAGTATCCTTTATCCTATTTAAAACCAGATTATAATCTGCTTTCTGAAAGAAAGTGTTGCTAAATGCACAGAATGCCCTTACGTTTCTGCTGCTACACAAAGTTTATAAACCAGATCAAATGCTAATCAAAATTCAGAAGTAGTCATTACACACAAAATTAAAATAACTAAAAGGCAGCTCCTACACCACACAACAAAATCTCCCATATCTATACCAATATCTACTTGCATCTCATTCATCCAAGTCATTAGCAATAGCTATTCTCCAGTCATATCATAAACCATAGCTCTCACGACAATGTGACTCTCTAACCTTCATTTATAATCACTGCTATTTAGGCACTCATATACCACAAAGGATTACTAAAATACTTTACAATTAAGGTGAAAGAAACAAAATCTGCTGAGACAGTTGAGTATTTTAAAATCTTCAATTCATAAATGCAGAGAATCAAAAAAAAGTTCTGAAAGGCACTAGCATGGTATCTCTACATCTTCTGATTAAGCTGCCCAACATAAAGAACAAAGACCTTCAGTAAACCATGTGATATTCCTTCCAGTTTAAGCTCTTCAATATTGTTTACAACCGTATTAGATCTAATCTATATAATCTACAGTACTTTATAACCTGTTTGGTTGTTTAAAAAGTCTCTCATTGACTTCCTTCCATGCTTTCCTCCACCCCAAAAGAAACTCTAGTCACCACTGCACATTTATCTACATACATTTATAAAAGATTGTATCATAAAGGAATGGACAGAGTTCATCTGATTTCTCAAATCATTTCCTAGACTAGAAGATGAGAAGAAAAACATGTTTAATTTGCTACACAGAGAAAACAGTTAACCAAATATTTGGACCGTCTGCAAAACGAGTATTTACTATAAAACTCAAATAAAAATCAACCTGCAATTTAAGACCAAAACTTCTGCATACCATAGCAACAAGAGGACACTTACCTATCTTCTTTGTTTATCTGGTCACCAAATCCCACTGTATTTACAATGGTCAGCTTCAAAAGAACATTACTTTCCTGGAGTTCATAAGTCTGGGCTCTAAGTTGTACAATTGGCAGAAAATGTGTTGACACAGGGTCATCAAAATTGGTGTTAAACAAGCTGTTTATCAAGGTTGATTTCCCAACTCCAGTTTCCCCTAAAGTTAAACAGAAGGATTGGGGAAGACATTTTGCACATCAAATAAATACCTACTAAGCATACAAACTGTTACCACAGCAACTCAACAGATTTACACAAAAACTCATCAACTGACCTCTCCAAGCAAAAAGGTTGCCTGCATTTTTTCATAATGAGCACTAAATACCTTTTAGCTGATTTCTTCATCCTACAGATAGGAGTTACCTGCTAATGAGTAATAAACAGAACAGTCTCTTTACACTTTGGTTTCCTTGAAAGTGTGAAGGAATTTCCTATAGATTTTTTTTTAAAAGTAACTAGCTGTGAAGCCACAGGGTTCAACACAGGGTTTTTATGAGTAAGGGTAAAATACTAGAGCAAACATTTGATAAGTACAGAAATACTTCAGTAACACCACCGTGGAATTTTAGGAGTTTTTGGTATGAAGCTCTTTGTTACAGTAAAGCTAGAGTGTAGCCCAGTTTACTCAAAAGAATCCAAGAAGCTTCCCATAAATCAATAAATACATGGCATCCATTTTTGGTCTTCATATTGTTTATGAAAATACAAAAACAAAGGACGGATATAAACAAGCAAAGCTGGGGGAAGAGGTGGAATTATAGTTCATGTTTAACATTAAAGAAGGAATTTAACATTGCAACTGGATTTAAATTTCTGTCACTTCCTAAGGACAGGTATACTACTAAAGCCTTAAAGCACCCAGATGCTACTTACCAATGCAAAGAATGTTGAAGCAGAAGCCCTGCTTGATGGATTTTTTAACCAGTTGATCAGGTAAACTATCAAAACCAACATGCCCAGACAAGGATAAAGTTCGATAGCCATCATTTTGCTACAGAAAAATAATTTTAAAATATGTTAGTGAAGTGCGAAGGCTTGGACAACAAGCCCAAGCCAGAGTTGACCTACAGATGAATTTTGTATATTTTATAAATGATAACCATTGTGCTAGTAGGTATTGTACTAAGTTATTACAACCCACCTATGCTGATGTAAAAAGTGCTAAAGCATGAACAACAGGCCCCAAGCTGAAGCTGCTAACTTAGAATGTAGTCATTAATAAAGTATGTAAACTCGCTAGTGAGAGACGCAGCTTAGACAAAATATAATCAGTAGCGAGGAGAGAATGTATCCAACTTCCCTTGTTTAGCCTTGTTCAAGGCTGAGAACCCACGTATTTGGCCTTGTTAGAAACTCCCTTGGTTTCCCACCCTGAGCCCTGGCCAGGCTTTGGGTGGAATCCAACAGGAGAATGAAACCAGAAATGTTCCGCTCGGAACAAAGGTGCCAGCTACTCTGGCTTGTCGATCTCGGGTATATAAGGCTGGGGCCGTTTGCCGTGACTTTGGAAGCCTCACCTACAGACGGACACACCGCGTAGGATTTCCCCCTTGCCGGGACACGCTCTCCAAACCCTCGCTGTAACTGGGGCTCCCCAGCCACTGCGGATCTGGATGATGATAATATATACAAGTGGTGATGTATCTTTCTTAATCTCTATTCTCTCTCTCTTGTAGTAATGACTTGATGCATTACCCTGTATTCTCCTGTTTGTTGCTTTGGGTACACTATTCTGCTTCTTCTTACTGCATGCTTTCTGTACTACACTGCTACATTGGTTATCAACAGTAAAATACGCCTTCTCTTTTCACTCTGGTTTCCAAGTTTAATTGGTATCCTTATCAGCAGAACAGTTAGTGAAGTGAGTTGCAAAGCAGTTAGCAATGGCAACAAAGGAACTCTACTAGTAAGCTAGAACTCATTCCTTACCATTTATATGGAATCAAGAAAAGCAAAGGTCTGAAAAAAGATCTGTCAAGTCAACTTTATTCCATGATTTGAGAAAACGTTCAAATTTACTTTACAAGACTACCTGCAGGCTCAAAATGAAGTCCATGTTTTGAAAAAAAACCCCATGAAACATGAATGAAATAAAGCAGACAAGTCCAAGTGAAAATGTAAACTGAAAACTGTAGACAGAAAATAGATCACAGTAGGTTTCCAAAATAAAAATATTTTAAAACAATTAAAGCAGCAGAATTCAAAATAGAGACCATAATCACAGGAAGGTGTATGTTATCAATCAGAACTCATCCTGAGTAGCTGGAATTGAAATTGTTATTTATGTAAAATAATACATTAACTACACACCAGAACTCTAAGAGATTATATGTATTATTAGAAATGTCTGGAGGTGCACATTCCTATTCAAACATCAGCTAGCAATCTAGCATCATGACATCAAGGCAATGAGCATACTAGGAATGCATAAGTCTAAACAGAAATATCTTGGTTCATACTAATTAACTGTAATTTTAAACAAAACTTCCATACCAAAAGTGTAAACAGTGACAGGTCCATGCTATTCTTCCTCCTACGGTTCCAATCCACACAGAATTGGAAATCATTACTGGTTCCTAGAAACATGTATATAGCCAAGAGTAGGAAATTTTTTATTTAAGACTTACAAGCCCACAAAAGTGACACCTTTTACAATAGGTATGCATAACAAGTTTCAGAATTCTTGTAGCTAAAAGATATGGACAGCAAATATCCTTTTCTTCTTTTGCACAGGACTTCTTGTGTGGGACTACAGACTGCACTCTCATTTTAGACTATTATAGTCAGATAACTCCATTGTAGACTAATTCAATGAGGAAAAATGTGTAAGCAAAGTGAACAACTTAAAGAGAAAATATGACAACTTAGGGCTATTAAAAAATAAATGTTCATTCAAAGCATGTCTGAAACAGAAATTTCTCAAGGTATTCTACCATATGGAAATTACTATTAAAAAGGGCTGAGAAACTCTGAAAACTGTCAGTATCCTGTTCATTTAAAGACAAGTGTATCAGCAACAGAGTGACAGCACATCTAACCACTGTAGTTACACAGTCTGATATTCAAACGACCTCTATCACCACCAATGTAAGAGTTCTTCTGAAAAAAAAACCACTGATCCTCCACACCAAAAGCCAGTTCCAGAGGCTCAGCATAACTGTAGAGCGGAGGCCTTTCTCTGCATGTTACCAGGCTAAATCCAAAGCAGGCTGGGCTACCCTCAAAATCCCTGCATAGCCATTTGTTACTCTCTAAGAAAAAATATCTAGTGAAAGGAACTTGATTTCCTTCCAGTCCACTTGGATTTCAGGGGACAAACCACTGATACCCAAAACCTTACTGACCATTTCCAGAGGTCATTAGAGTAACTACCAGGTCATCCACAAGAGACCATGTGAGGATTAAAAAGCATTTAGCTAAGGAAATTGGTATTACAGCTGTATTTACTGTACAAAGCTAAATGCAGGAACAGACCACAGGAGTCCTCATGGCCATTAACTCTGTGATTTCATTTTCAAAAGGAAGGGAGATATTACCTACAATTTAGCAATTAAATTCAAGAATTTGCTGTTTTCTGGAAACAAAACCCAACAGTAATTAGTTCTTCCGCTGCTATGATGTGCCTCGCTATCTCATATAAACTTGTATACTTTGCTAGGCCACTTATCTTGAAAATGAAACAAAAAAAGAAGACAAAGGAAACATTTTTCACCAAGGGCAATAGACTGAAAGATGGCCACATATGCTTGGAGTCAGCAGAAATGGACCATGACTGGGAAAAAATGTAAAAGCAGTAGCTGGAGATCACAAACCCCAACTCAACTGAAAACCAAGACGACTTACCCCACCACACCCTCAAGGAGCATGCCCGTTAATTTAAACAGCACTAGCCAGTAACAAATGTACTCTTAATCATCAACCAACAGTTGTAAACTTGGGTGGGTTTTTGCTAATCGGGTAATGGGATAAATATGCTGTAGCTCTAATACAAAACTGAGCTAACTTTGTGGAATATCGCTTAGCTCCTGGCTTTGTGAAAATCTTAATAAAGATATACCTCAACCCTGTGTGTACTGGCTTGAGTATCGGCTAAAGATCCCACTTTTTCAGGACAACAGCTGTTTATTATTGAAAATTTGACCAAATTTCCCTGTGAAACGGGACAATAAGAAATAATAAACGTACAAAAGAAGGTGCTTTCTCTGGGCTTTGCTTAAAAAGCTAAGGCTATGCTTATCACATCTGGCTGTGCCACTACTTAAAATTTCTCATCAGATGTCTAAGACAGTTAATTTCTTTGTATTTCTGTTTCTCCCAGAGATGCTTCTCATGGATATGTATTGCAGTCAGGAAAGAGAGTAAAAACTTCTGCAATAAGTATTTATGCAATTGCCAGATATTCTGAGACATCTCAAATTTGCTATTTTAAGACAGTATATTTCATCTTTCTTCAGTACATAAAAGTTAATTTAATGACACTACACAGTTATGAGTGAAAAATAAAACCATTTTTCTGGAAATGTAGATATATAAAAGTACATGGTAAGATCTATGTCACTCAGACACAAGAAAAAAATTTGACACGACAGAAAAATCCTTTTAAGTTGTAAAAACAGCTTACAGAACCTGGTACTTATAAGAACTTCCCCATTAGAGAAATTGTGGTTTGTGCACAGCTTTCTTCAGCACTGTCGGG